AGGATAGAAAGTAATTTATTGTTGATTTATATCCTTTAAATGTTTATGGTATTGTTAAATACACATGGTATGTGCTTCCATTTGTATTCATCTTTGTTGTGCCATCCAGTTGATTCCAACTCATAGTGACCCTATAGGACAGAGTAGAACTGCCACCTGGGGTTTCCTAGGCCATAATCTTTACGGGAGCAGGTTGCCAGGTCTTTTCTCCCATGGAGCAGCTGACTCCTATCTTACACTGTACATATATTAGGGCCCCTAATTTAGAGGTGAGTCTTTTAAAGAGATTGTGCAGTGTTCTGGCTTTTCAAAGAGGCTGTCAGTTTAAACTCCCATCAGAAACATATGGCAGGGCCAGTTTTCTTACTTGGGTAGTAGAAGCCTTTTACCAAAATGCTGATCTCTGCCAAGTTGATGGGACAAAGGTAGTTTGAATGTACACTTTCTCTTATGAATGAGGATGAAGGTTGAGCATCATTTTCATGTCTTCGAGAGCCATCTGAATTCCCATTTCTCTGAATTCTATTTTTGTTACCCCTTCTATTGACTTGGTTTTTCATGATTTGAAGCATAGCTCTCTGATATCCTGTCCCAACCATTCTAGCTGCTTCAGCATCCCTAAACTTGGATTTATTCAGCTTAGCAAGACTGCTTTCCTCTCCTTGGGCTCCACCTCCCTGGACCATGGTCACGAGTGCCCCAGGCACACAGCTGGGACAAACGTGAGGTTGAACTTGTGTGTTTTCCTTCTCTCAATTACCAGAGCTCTGCACTGCACGCTTTATAGGAAGAAGGGTAACCATGACTCCTGAACTTGACCAACATTCTTCAGTAAGTAGCTCCACCAGCCTTACCTAACATGGAAATTCAGGAGAAAGTGTTTGTGGACACAGGAGCCTTTCACTGTTCATGCCACAACCTACCTTGGAAATGCGCAGGGTCACAGTCTCAGCCCATCTAAAGGGCTAGCATCCCTCCTTGGCCTATCTGCTGGGCCAGAACCACCCACTGCTCTGCTGAGGCCTGTCACTTCCCTCTAGCTTACTGGAGTTTCATGGAGTGGGGTCCTAGGGTTGGCGGTGGAATGGGCACTAAAACAGTACACAGGACTCCATATAGCTTGCTGATGGATAAGAAAAAAGAAACCATTACCTTCTCAGCACCCCCTCCCATCACGAATGCATTGTAATTGCATTTAGGTGGGTGATTCGCTCAAAGCAAGGAATAGATAGGACAAAAAAGCACTGCAATCGATCGACTAAGCGCTTTGCTTTATAAAGCAAACAGCACAATTCAGATGTTCTGCTTTTATTACAGTAATGAAAACAAGAGCATATTTGTCTCTCAAGATCTGTCAAGGATTCAAATGATCAGATCAAAGCCTCATCTGTAGAACATCTGCTCCAACACGGAAGAGCTTCATTCTTCAGCTCAGTGGTGGTCACTGCAATGGGATCAAACGTCTAAGTCCCAAGGCTGTCTTTTAACTACAGTATAATTGAATAACGGAAGAAGGAAAGCTTACACTGGAAAGCCGACCTAAACAACCATTCTCAAGTTTCCTCGTTACCACCTTCACCTCAGGTACCCACATGGGACAGACACGCAGGTGGGCAGCACTCCACCGTTTCCTCCTCCATTGGTTTCTTAGTTGAAAACTTGACTCCATACTTCTCAGCACGTCTACCGTATTTTTACACAAATAACACATGCCTTCTACATTTGCTTGCCAACTGCTCCTTCCCCCCATGAGGTATTTTTGTAAGTGCTGCTATGCCAATTATTTTTTTACATGTTGCTGTAAAAAATTAGCACATCACACTTAGGAAAATACCTCAAGTGATGGGGGGGGGGCAGAGGGAGTGGTAGCAAATGTAGAAGTTAACTTTAGGCACTCTGCCAGCTTATGCTCCTCCCTTCCCAGTTAGCTTTTGTAGTCCTCTAATCACTTCTTGCTTTTTAGTTTTACCTCCATGACTGCTGTCCTTAAAAGTTTGCCCATTTTTAAATCAATGAAGTCCTACCATATGCATTTGCGATCTGCTTTTGTTCAGTGTTTGAGATCCAAAACCAAATACCAAACCCACTGCCGCTGAGTGGATTCTGACTCATAGCGACCCTGTAGGACAGAATAGAGTTGCCACATAGGGTTTCTAAGGCTCTAAATCTTCACGGAAGCAGACCACCACATCTTTCTTCTGCAGAGCTGCTGGTGGGTTAGAACTGCCAACCTTTTGGATAGCAGCCAAGCACTTTTACCACTGCGCCACCAAGGTCCCCTAATGTTTGAGATACACCAGTACTGTTGTATGAAGCTGTAGTTTTTGACTGCAGCGTGGCATTCTTTTAGATGAACATCACAATAAAGCTGTTGGACACACGGCCGTCCAGTGTGAACTGTTACACAGTGCCCTATCAAGTCATTATAGAGTTTGAGGCTTTAAAATTTTAAACTTTTGACATTTTGTTGATCATGGATGTTTTTGTTATTAGTTTTTAAATGTTGCATTAAAATACTGATTGCAGTTTTCTGACACTTCATCCCTAAATTTTGTGTCCTACCCAAGTGCCTCACCCGAGTCTAGGCCCTGCTGTTCCACTGCTGCCTTCTGAGTGAGTTCCTCATGGAGTTGCTGGGGAATGTATGTGTAGTTGCCCACTCCAAGAACACCAAAGCTTCATTTGATATAATTGCAATTTTTAATTTCTGCTAACCTGGTGGGTGTGTAATGGCTCACTGGGATATTATATACATTTGCCACTGAACTCAAGCACCATTTTGTTTCTCGACCATTTCAATTTCTCCTTCTGTGAAATGCAGATTGTCTCTTATCCATTTACAAAAATGTTTTCTTGTGGATGTACAGTAGTAGCTCTCCATATATTCTATTTCTCAGTCTTCTGTCAGTTACATGTGTTCCCTTTATGGATTACCTATTTAGTTAGTGGTGGTCTTCATTTTGATAAATTTGACTATGTTAAGCTTTTCCTTCAGTTGTCTTTCAATTGGAACTGGTTTTTGTGTATGGTATATAGTGGGATCCAGTTTCAGTTTTATCTAAATAACCACCCAACCGTTCTATACTTTTACTGAAAAGTCCCTCCCTTTTCCCAGTGACCTGCAATGCTACCTCTCAAGTAGGTCTACACGTGCCTAGGTCTTACTCTGTTTCATTGATCCATATTTCCATTCCCATGCCAGTAAGTGTTACCTACTCTAGCTTTACAGGTAGGTCTTGACATCTGGTAGAGCACATCTTCTCTTATCCTTCGCAAGTGTCTTGGCCCTTCATATTTCCAAGTAAGTTTCAGAATCACCTTGATGAATTGGATTAACTTTCGTATTAAGCTTTTAAGTGGAAAGTCAAGAATATGATTTTAGTCAAAGTTACGAAAATGTTTCATAGTGTTAAAAGGTTATTTAAATGAAAAATCCTGCTGCAGTTCTTTGTTAAAAACTGAACTCACTACAGATCCTTGCTTGTTAACCTATACCAATAGCCCTAGCTTGTTAACATTGCCTGGTTCTGTCTGTCATGTACTGGCAGCAGAATGTGAGACTTATCACCTCACTAGGTACACGAACAGTTTCTTATCCAATTACATTTTAAACCACATACAGTGAAGAATTTTTGTGAAGCAGGCGGCCATCAAAAAAGATCCTCCCCAAATGAAGCTGATTTTCAGCAAAAGAGCTGCATGCATGTTTATCCAATAGTATCTTCGTAAAATAAAGACAGTAAATTAGAAAAAGTTCTCCCTAAAAACAAAACTTTCACTCTTTCTTTCAAAAACCAAAACACAAGTAAGTCTTAACAGGTCTACTGATCCTGCCGTTAAGAGTGAACTAAGCTTGTCAGCCCTACCACCATGATGACAGGATCATCTGGCAGATAACGTGGAAGGCGGCCCCCTTCTGATACTGTGTTCAGATGATGTGGTTTAAGTGTCCATTCTAATTGTCATTTCAAAGTCGAGTTGGAGGAATTCCCCTTTTCTGAATGAGTCACACACTTGTGTCAAGACGCTTGAAGTTTAAATCCAGGTAGTTAATTTGTCATTATTTTAATGGAACAAAACTATCTAAAAGGGCTTGGTGTGGGGATACCTATTTGGCTTTGTTTTACTCTTTTTTTTTTTTTTAGCTCTATGTAGCCCAAACATAAGTACCCCAGATGCCTTTAAAGTGAGGCGCCCTTTGGTCATTTCTTTGGTCATTTGAGCACACAGGCTAAAGAAGTCTTGGCCACAGACTCTAAACCCAAACCAAACCAGATGCTGTTGTGATTCAAGCAGCTCAGAGTCCTGCAACTGGAGATTATGGATTCTGTCTCCTTCTCACACAGACCCTGAATGGATCACAATGGTCAAGGTCAAAAACCTGTTATCATCTGCCAGGTTTCTTTAGCACTTGGCCCTGGGTTAAATCACACCAATCATCCAACCTAGAGGCAGGGGACCTCCCTATCATTACAACTTAAAATTATTTCACTATGTTTATTTTCCTTAGGATGAAGTTCAATGGAATAAACTTGATACCCTCACAAACAATATAATCACAAGAAAAAAAGGTGACACAATCAAATGAATTAAAAGTTTAATCCTGAACCATTTTTATAACTGCATTTTCTCTTGAAGCATCGTATCACAGCAGGTTACAACAACTTTGGGATAAAAGGCAACTGTCCAAAACAGGGTTCCAAATAACACCTCTTACTGACCCCGACCCATACATATCCCAAATAAAGTTTTTGATCAAAAACATGAAATAGATCCACCTGCTTATTTTAAGCATATTAAAAAGGAAACTAATTGGACCATTTCTATTTGTCTATTTTATACAAAAAAAAGGCTACACAATGTTACACTTTATTCAGATTACAATTAGAGTGATTATGAATTAGTGTTCTACACCATTAATCAATTCTTAAAAATCAGAAATTGCTGTAGCAGTATTCACTATAACTTAACACTACAAGAGACTTAAAAAACTAAGTTACTGCAAAAAAAAAAAAAAAAATTAAAAAGCTACTTCAAAGCAAGCAAAGTCAGTACCATTACAGATATTTAAAAAAAAAAATTTTAACAAGCAAGGCTAGGGTTTGATAAATTCCATCCTGTGATCCATTCTTGTGCATTCTTCACTTCTTGAGTCACTCCCAAAATCCATTTGTATTGTTACTCCTCGACCAAAAAGGACCAGAACAAAAAGTTTACTTCAATTGTTCCCATAGGAAACTCAGCTTGGTTAGTGTGTCAGGCACTTTCTGAGATACCAGCCCACCCCTCGAGCCCTCTCAGCAACTCTACAGGCCAATCACAATGCAAGTTCAGACAATACAGCTGTATAAAGAGAGAAAGGCTGCTATTAATGTTTAAAACAGCAAATGTTACTCATTTGAGTATTAAGTTGCAAAAGCTGTGGCAAAAAAACATTAAAATCAATAACTTTCACACATGACCATTTAACAACAAGAAATCTGAGAACATTCCAATGTTCCAAGACATCTCCTGTCAAAGTATGTATCTGTTTTTGTGGCAGATTTACAAATAGGCCTAAACCACTCCCACCCTACCAACCAAGTCTTTCTGAAGGTCTGTAGGCAGAGTAAAAGTATTTTACCCAACTGGCTTTTTTAACTTCTTACCTAAAGGAGGATTTACAGGTCAGTATCAAACCAGGCCAGCTGATTGCTGTCGCCTGGAGGCAGCCCATCCATGAGGTCCTGGGCATGCCCCAGATCTGGCAGCCCATCAACTGGATAGTCAGCACCAGGGTGGTGGCCACCCATCTCATGCTCCATCATGGGGTCCATACCCAAGGCATCCTGGCCGTATCCACCAGAGTGGAAAGAACGGTAGCTGGGATCTAGAAAAAGCCAGGGGTAGCAACAAAATGGGAAAGGGAAGGGGAGAGGAGAAACAGACATACAGGTTAACACAGTTGGGGGTATCCAAGAGCAGCAAACTTGGCACAAACTACTGTTTTCTAGCTTCATTAATGTCCAGCTTTCTTCAGCCAAGCAAATTCAGTACCAAGCCTCACAACAGCCAGGCCACCCATGAGGCTACACAGACAAAGCATGCTTCCGCCGGAGGCAGACCGGCAGGTTCTAGTCACTCCATCAGTTTACTCCTGTATGTTCTGCATCTACCCCGGTGGAGACACAAGGTTCCTGAGGAGCAGCAATCTACTGTGTGCCTGACCACCTAGGCATCAAAAAGCCATGGGCAGGAGATCCAGCGAATAACAAAGAGATCTGGTAGATGTAATCTATCTGCTGAAAAGCCCAGATGATACCCACAAAAGTAATAAGAAAACTCAAGACACTGTTTCCAATGAAACCTTCACATGTTTCCTCTTAAGGGTTGACTTATTAACTTATCTATCAAAGTAAGAAGCCTATGAGCTTTAAGTAGTTCACTAATTAGGTAAAGCCAGATTAGATTATATAAATTTAAATATGGAGTGTTATTAGCCATTAGTGGTCTACCCCATCCTCCATCACCCAAATTTGAATTAACTTTTCAGAAAATTACCCACGGCAACACAACTACATAAATACGCACTCCAGATCTGAGGTTGGGGATAGGAGTTCCCATACTCTCACCTCCCTGGGTAGACTGTAAACAGGTATTATGGGTTCTCTGACCAAAAACCAAAGACAAAGCCAAGCATCGTGCACTGCAAAGGTCCAGAAGCAGTAACATGTATTTTGCTGGTGTGATCCTGTTGCATGCTCAGTGTATGGCTCTGAATTCCCTATGCTCCGTTAAAGATAATGTCGCTGACTCTGGAATTAACAAAGAACTAGCTTTAATGGCAACCACTACTTTCCTGCCAACTGGTTTCCCAGATGAACAAACTGGCTCTTTTGATAAAGCTTTAGAATTTTAGCTTGATCTGGTGTTAACTGAGAAATACGAGACACGTACCATCCTGGCGATATCCAAGGGGTTCTCCCTGGGCACCAATATCAAGTCCAAGGTCAGCAGTCTAGAGAAATGGGAAGGCAAGGAAGAAAACACCAAAATGAAAATCCTCCAAGTATACTCTCTAATATTTTTTTAAACATACTGACTTTCAAATTGCGAATATTAAAATTATTCACTGTTCTTTCAGCAAATATGTACTAAGCACCTACTATGTGCCAGGTGGTAGACACACAACAGCAAATAGGGAAAAGTGCTGCCCCCAACAGCTGACATTCTAGTGGGAGGAGACAAGAGCAGAAGAGCAGCTGTGTGACTGAAGCAGAGTCAATGAAGGAAGCAGGAGGGTATGGGGTGAAGCAGTGAGGGGCAGCATGCAAGGCCTGGTAGGTCACTGGGTGAGTTGATAACCAAACACTGCCATCTCCTCTGAACACCGGTACTCAAATCCACCCACCCAAAGAAGGAAATGCAGTAAGGGTTTTATAAAACCAAGCTTATTCAATCTAAAGACCTGAAGGGTTTTGATTAGAAGAGACAATCTGGTTTACGTTTAAACAAAATCACTCCAGCAACTATGCTGAGAAGACTGGTAGGGGGAGGTGGTAGGGAAACAAGACGATCACTTAAAAGGTAATTGTGGCTGGAACAAGATGGATGCAGCAGAGGTGTTGAGAAGATGGTCAGATCTAAGGTAGAGCCAACAGGAGTTGATGACAGACAGGATGTGTTATGGGAAGGAAAGAACAGTCAAGGATGGACTCCAAGAGTTTTAGCCTCATCAGCTAACAACAAAGTTGCCATTAACTTTGAAGGAGGAACAGGTTTAGGGAAGGGGCTGGGTGGGGAAAGTTCAGAGCTCAAGTCTGAACATGTTAGTAAGATGCCTATGAAAAACCCAACTAACAAATTACTGTTTGGCAATTTGCCCCCCAACCCAAAATAATATACAGGATCTCTTTCCATTCATTCAGCAAATATAATCCACTGAGTGAGTTAAAGAAACTTTAAGGGTTGCTCTAATTCTATTAGAAACTGTTTGAATGAAGACCTCTGTATATATCACTCTGGGTGAACACTGAGGACAAATTCTTACTAGAAATTCCAAGGAGAAAAACAGATGACTAGCTGAGCATTTAAAAAAAAAAAAAAAAAAATTAATAAATTGACCTGCAAGATGGCACTGCTACTTTACGCTCGGACAGTAAGACTGCCTCTCCTCTTTCCTTACACACTTTTGAAAAATCTTCAATCTGATACACGTTTTCATCTATGTCCCTTATGATTCTAATGTTAAGCAACACAACTGTCTGTGATGACCCTGAACAGGCTGTTTGAAGCCTGTAGTTCGTCTGTCCAACAGCAGTTGCTGAGTTGCTGGATAGCATAAAGAAAGAACATTCAAGCCAAGGACAGTCACTGCGAATGCATGTGTGCAGTGTTTTGAGGGAAGAGAATGAAAAGATGCCTTACCTGCTCCAAAAAAACTACTAAATAAAGGTGTTCACACTGCCTACCTCATTCCAAGCCATCGGCTCCGTTCTGAAGAGAGAACTGGTCAGCTCAACTGAAAGCCGTTTCTTGTAATCCTGTGGCTTGTCCTCAGACATTCGGAACAAAACAGCAGCTGCGTATGTTGCTGGGAGAGGAGAGGGAAAAAAACCCTTGAGAAGCCAAGGCTTCGCTGTGCATACCCACTAAAGGCTTTGGTTCCTTTCCTACTTACCCACACCTTCATTCCTAGAGTGAAGCAATTCTGTCAGAGGAGCTGTGGCTCCCTCAGCTTCAATAGCTTCTGCAGCCTCCTTGTCCTGAGCTAGTTCACAGAGGACCCCTGCAGCTACTCTTTGGATATTTTCAATGGGAGAATAAAGCAGCTAAGGAGAAAACACACAAACAAAACCTAATTAAATCTAAAGTTAAAACATGGCAGGCACCCCACTGGGGTGCAAACTGTCCTAATTCTGAGTGTAACTGGCATTTGCACTGTTCATATTAAATCAGAATGTCTGAATTTATGTCCTAGTGTGTTTAATGCTCTGGAGCAGTGGTTTTCTAGAATATTTGTAGCTATGAACCTTTCTTCAGAGACAATTTTAACTGAGATAAGATCTGGAAAACCCGGAGTTGGTTGAGGGCCTGTGCCCCAGCAGCCCAGGCCAGCTCACCTCCCTCCAACACTGAATACTCTCAAAAAATGGGGTGTAAGAGTCTCCTCCCTCTTCATGAGGCGCTAGTCCTAAAGTTTCTCCCTTTACTGCCCAAGAAAAATGGAGATCTCTCATAAAAAAATTAACTATTCAACTTAAAGGAAACCACATACTGAGATACTATTTTTTATACTGTGGCAGGGGACTTGGGCAGGGTTGCTATCTTCTTAAAAAGTAACAGCGATAATAGATGAAACATTAAATGCTTGTTGCCCCTATTTTGGTCCCCAATTTTCTGAAATTCTGCTGACCACTAAAATCCTGAAATTTTACTGACACATAAAATCTACAACACCTCACTTAAAATCAACATACCTGCACAAACAATGGAATGGTATTTAGTCCTCTGATTACAATTCGGTTGTGAACATCCCGAGCCAGGATGTGAAGGGCTCCAGTACAACCTTCAACTATTTCTTCCATGCGGACTCCCTCCTACCAAAGGAAACATGATTAACAAATGAGGAATTCTCCTCTCTAAAGTTTATAAACTTGACAGGCTTTCCATTCTGACTAGCGGTCACTACTAAAGTTATTCACATTATATATCCAAAAACACACTGTCATCCAGTTGATTCCGATTCATGGCAACCCGTATGTTACAAAGTAGAACTTCCCCATAGGGTTTTCTTGGCTATAATCTTTATGGAAGCAGATCACCAGGCCTTTCTTCTGTGGTGCTGGCAGGTGAGTATGAACTGCCAACCTTTACGTGAGCAGTCAAGTGCACACCATTTGTGCCATTCAGGTCCTTTAGATACCCAAAGCTCCTCATCATTCGTAATTACTTAAGGAATAAAACAGGATTCCATCAAGGTGAACGTTACAGACTGAATTGTATCTCCCTCAAAATTATGTTTAAGTCCTAACCCCCAAACCGTACCTGTGAATGTGACCTTGCTTGAGGAAACGATACCTTCTGAGTGGTGTCTTATGAAAGGGGAGGACAGAGAGAGAGAGACACAGGGAGAAGACACCATGTACGACAGAGGCAGGTGCATCTATAAGCAGCCAACACACACCAAGGATTTCCAGCAGTCTCCAGAAATGAGGAGAAGCATGGAACAGTTCTTCTAAGGCCCTCAGACGGAATCAACGTGGCTGATACTCTGATTTGCACATCTAACCTCCAGAATGAGAAAATACATTTCTGTTCTTTAAAGCCCCCCCCTTGTGGTATTTTGGTTCAGCAGCCCTGTGAAGCTAGACAGAGTATGTCACTGATGGGTGCCTCATGGCGGCACTAATTCCAAGCAGCACCCCTTTCTCCATACATAGTGCTGTGTCAGAAGCAGCTTTGATATACTTCTGAACCCCAAAGGCAACTTTCTTAGTGACGTTCCAACCATTCTGGGTAAAAGGCATATAAAAAAAAGATACAGAGAGATGGGAAGTGATGTTCAGACTATATTTTTCTTTCATACACCTCCTTAATTTTTGTATATCTACATGACTTTATTGAAAATTTTTCCAAGTTTTATCACCAATTGCTAAAATTGTACTGAGCTGCCAGCAGAAAAGCAACAAATACCTTCTGATAAATGCTTCCCTGACTATTCAACTGATGGCCTGTACAGCAGAAAGAAGTTGGCTTTTGCAAAGTGTCAGTCCCATCTGCTTCCTCTATTTCTGGGTTTCTAAGTTTTAAAAATGGTTATGATTCTGCTATTTTTAGCAGTTTTTGTAAACAACTTCATTTTATGAGGACACAAAAACTCCTTTCTTCCTAGAAGAAATTTTAAAATAAAAAGTACCCTCTGCACTGTATTAAGCCACCCCATGGAGACAGGCCAATACCAAACATAATGAACGGAGAAAACCAAAGCCCCTAATGTGGGTGCATACCCATAACAACTAACAATGTGGACTCCCAAAAATCTCTTCTGGTAAGGCCTGTCCTTGTTTTCTTAAGTAACCTAATTACATAAGAGGGAACTCTTTGAAGGTCTGAGTCCTAAAATAATTTCTGAGGATTCAAAAGTGTCTTTATATTTCTTGTATTCCTATTATGTTCATACAGTTATATTCATGTACATTTATAATGAAGCTAGTTTCAAGACTCAGCTCTACGCTGAGAATATTAAGGGTAAAGATATGCTACTACTTATTCTTGACATTTGTTACATATTTTTAGGTTCATGACAATAGTTTAACCTCTCCAGGAAGAAACAGTCAAAAGGCATGGTAAGTATTTATAGGCAAAACTCATGCTGGAGTGGGGGATGGTATCTGAAGTCAGCCAGACTTGGGTTGAAAAGATGGCTCTGCTACTTCCTAAGGAGGTAAATCGCTGTATGGATTCAGTGAGACCACTGTATGAAGTGCCTAACCACACAGCAGTTAATCATACCCCACACTCCCTTTGCAAGACTGACCACGCAAAGGACATGGCCAAGGACCTGAACCCCATTTCACTAGGCACCACATTATTTCATATCTTCTCTGCAACCACAGAAAGGACCATCAGTTTTGTCAGTCATAAGCAACTTATCAGAAGGTGGCGGGGAGGGAAAGAAAGCTAGTGATCAAAAAAGGTGAGGATCCTATGATTTACGCATTTCTTTTAAATAGCCAGGAGTCACTATTAAGATCTGCCTACCACAAACTGCTGCTGTGTTCCACCCATGGACGTGCGGCGCTGGGTGTCCTGATGTGCTCGAACCAGCAACTGAACTAATCGTGGAATGGCACCCTGCTCACGCAAAGGTGCGTGATTTGCTGGACAAAGGGCAAGGTTTCGAATCAGTCCAACAGTAGCCTACAGATAAAAAGGAAGAATAAAGAATGAATTGGCATACAGCTTCACAAATCACCGTGTTAGCCTCAAACTCTCGCCACGCTAAATCCATTAGTATCAACTGAAAACAGCACTGACTGCACACCCACTCTGGAACCCCACGTCCCCACCCCAGCCACACTTCACATTTACTAAAGACTACAACTCCTATTTATCAGTCTCTTGTATCTAGACCACCATCCAACAGGCAGAGCTAGAGATGGTTCATTTTTAGTTCTGCACATTCTACCTCGACTATTTACCTTTATCAGAGGCCAATGGGATGGTGGATGTAGGAGTTTAACCACAACTGGTAGTCCATAGTGAAGACGAACAGCATTCTGAGCCATCTCTGCTTCCTGGTGTCGGCTGGTCAGATGACGAAGAGCACAGATGGCAGGCTCAGTGATGTCCTCTCTGTCACCAGCACGAAGGACAGTACGCACAAGAGCCTCAATACCTCCCACTTGGCACACCATCATCTTGTTCTTATAATTATTGCAAGTGAGGTTAGAAAGAATTCCAGCTGCACAAGTGACCACATTTATATCGTCTGAACCCAGAAGCTGAACAAGAGTCCCAAGAAGACCTTCCATTCCTTCCTATGGAGATAAAAATAGATGCTTGGTACATTCTCATCTCCACTCATCACAAAGGCACCAATTTATTCAGAATTTACCTGTTTAGTTGCAGCATCTGAAAGATTCCTAAGAGTCCAAAGACAGTTCTGAACAAGACGTTGACTTGGATCTGTCAGGTGAAGTCCTAAAGCTTGCATTCCACCTAGAAAATGTAAAAAGGATCTAAGACAATGACTGTTAGCTAAAAGTTCCTGACTATCAGCCTGAATGTCTTCTCTAGTCTTAGAAGGCATCCCTCTTTATTTCCAAAGTTAACCCCCTCCACCTAAGTACTTTATTTCCTCTCATTTTCTAGGCTCTTGCTCAGTTTCCCTTCCTTTTCCAGTTCACCTCACTAGTGACTTCTGTTAAACATCTACTGCTTCCCCCTATGAGGAAAAAGCCTTCATTCATCTCCAGTAATATTCCTGTTACTTATTTTCTTTCAACCATTCAATCATTTCAAGAAATATTTTGAGTGCCAGACCCTGTTCTAGAGTTGGAGATACACCAGTGAGCAAAATTTTCAGAAATCCCTACCCTCGTGGAACTTATTGTCTAGTTGGAGAAGAAAGAAAATAAACAAATATACAATTAATAAACTAAAGTATATAGCAGTACGGTCAGATGGTGTTCAGTGCTATGGAGAAAAACAACAGAGGAAAAGGGAAGGAAGCTGCAGTTTTAAGTAGAGTAATTAGATCACCTCAATGTGAAGGTGACATCTCAACAAAGACCCAAAGAAGCTGGTAGACTCCTGGAGTAAGAATGGTCCAGAAAGAAGGCACTGGAACACTTGTTGCCAAGGACTGGAAAAAATACAGTCACTGACTCTGAAGTTTCACAACTTTCCATCACTGAGGACCCTAATAAGGAACATTAAGAGGATAAATGGAAGCCTAATTCCTCACACACTAGCTTAACTTCAACCATCTCTTTCCAACTCAACTCACTTCTGAATGCAGAGTGCTTTTCCTTGTCTACTTGTTTATCCTTCAGCTTTGTTTTATTTCCGCAAACTAGGTGTCCTTTACTTGCTATAATTCTCATGGCACCCTGCACTTTTCCTTTATAGCATTCATCACAACTATAATTAAATCTACCTCCCCAACTAGACAGGGATTGTGTCTATTTGGCTCCTTCCTCATAGTAGCTCCAGCTACTAAAGGAGTGACTTGCACAAGGTTGATGCTCAGTCAAGATTTGTTAAATGATTAGGGATTCCTCTTCACCTTCTCTCCCTCAGAGCTCATACTCCCTCCCTCTACTGTAACTGTTAACTCTAAGAGAATGGATTTAATCCCAGGTACCCATCAGAATGGTCTGTAGAGACTTAAAACACACACACACACATTTGATTCAGCAGGTCTAGGGTAAGAGCCACCTGCAGATGACTCTGTAGCACTACCTCCAACCTGCTCCTCTTACCCTACATAGCAAGAGAGTAACTCCCAAATCTCCAGCCCTGACTTTCCTGACATCCCAGTATGATACAGTTCCAGCAATCTACTGACCTTTTGGTCACTTCTAATTGGTCAGCTACTTAAATACTCTTGTTCCAAAAAGTAACACTCCTTTCTGACAGCTGCATTTTATCCTCATGGCACCAATGTTCTCCCCACCACAAAACCTCAACCATTTTTGATCACTCCTTTAGCTCCATATATCATTACAGTCCATGGATTCTTTCAGTAAGTTTCAAACATTCATCCTTTGCTGTCTATTTCTAACTCTGAATTATTTCATGCCTAGATGGCTGTAACATATCTCATGGCCTGGTCTGCTGACCTTTGGTCATTCACACTGTATCTATAAAATGCTAATATTAATATCCCAAACAATCACTGTGGTGCTGTGTCACTGCTCAACAACCATCAATAGCCTCTCATTACCTATAAAATAAAGAATTTAGCCTTTAACATAACCTTGAGGAACCCTTTAGAATTTGGAGCCCACCTAGCTTTCCAGACTGATCTCAGTATTCTGTATCTATGGTTCCAAAGCTGGCTGCGTATATGAATAAACTCCATGAATAAAGTCTCACTGAGACATCAGAAGTTCTTAATGATATAGTCCCACTTAGCTCATTAATGTCATCCTGGAGGACCATTCACCCTATCACTAAGTGCTTGTTACACAGACCTTCTCTTCGGCACCTGGAACTCCACAATCTCTTTCCTACCTCCAGGACACAGCACAGGATGTTTCTTTCCTCTGACCAGAAGGCATTTTACCTCCATTTCTCAGAGACAGGTTCTCGGCTCATCCTCCAGTCTCCATTTAACATCCCTTTCTCAGGGAAGCCCCTTCCCTCTCCATCTAATTAGCCAAATACTTTCCCTTCATTAATTCTGTATCACTATCAGGTGGTGTTTCTCTCATAATACTCATTCCAATTTGTAACTACCCATCTTTTTGTGTATTTTTGTGACCCTCACCAGACTGTAAAAACAAGCACAGGGACCACATCTGTTTTTGCTATCCACTGTATACCCATGTGCCTATTACAGTGCTTGAAACATTAGGTGCTAAAGATTTTCAGAACAAATGAACATCAGAATAATCTTGGGACTTTCTTAAAGATTCCCAGGACTATAGTCCCATACATTTCCAGCTACCTAGAGCTTCTTGTCACTTCAATTAGTAGGCTGGTTACATTAATTACCTTGATACAAAAATTAACATTCCAGGGATTCTGATTAAATAAATTTACAATGGTGCCCAGGAACCTGTATTTTTAAAAAGGAAGTGCCCCCAGATACTTCTGGAATAGCCAGCAGAATTTGCATCCCCCTGTTCTATATGATGCTTCCATAAAGGTTACAGCCTTGGAAACCCTATAGGGCAGTTTTACTCTGTCCCAAAGGGTCGCTATGAGTCAGAATCAACTCGATGGCAACAGGTTTGTGGGGTGGTTCTGTATGAACCCAGCTACATTTGTCTATCTCCAAGCCTACTGTTCCACTGTTAGCAGTCACCCTGGGCAATCATAACCACCACCCCTATAAATTCTCAAGTAAAATTACTCTCAACACATTGGAAAAACAGGTGTTACCAATCCTACAATTTACTCCCAACATTTTCTTCTATCAACTGCCTTTATATTTTTCCTCTTCCAGTTTTGGTTTGAAGCTTGGTTTTAGAGTCCAGGCAGATGCTGTTAACTGGGTTATTAAAAGGAGAAAGGATGCTGGGAAGATGAGATTAACATCCATTCCTTTCCTCTGCCACCAACATACACGACAATATAAACTACCATATACAAGTTGTTTCATTAAAAATACTAAGAGAAAAAAAGTTTTTCATATTAGGCCACTGGTTCATTGAGACTATAGAAAATCAGTGCAAAACAATGCTCATGAGTACCCACTAACAAATCAAGAAATCACTTTGCCATGTACAACTATAATTTGCCATAACGTAATTTCACCTACGTATTCACAGGTTTGTTAGCAAAGTAACTACTGGGGGAGCCCAAAATAAAAAACAAATTTGATCAAGCAAAGGATTAGCCGTCATTTCAATGGGTAGTAAGAACTCTGCTTGAATTAGTCTTTAATAGCACCAATGTAAGTGGCAAACAGAACTTACATTTATCTGAATATGATCTTGGCTGCAAACTGATTAGAACCACTTACTTTCAGCCTGCTGAAGTCAAGATTACCTTCTCTTAGGAAAGATAATCTAATTAGAACTGTAGATACTGTACATGGGAGGTCTCAGAATAGACATATATACTTACCAGCTTCTACAATAGCCGGCTTATTACTAGAGCAGACAGACAGCACCTTCAATACTCTGCTTGTGGTCCACAGTAGCTTCTCGTAAGTGTAGGTCCTCATTATATTTACTAAAGCTTGGGGTCCACCGCTAGCCAGAATGATCAGCTAGAAAGACATTTATATATATGTTAATCATGGAATCCTTATCAAATGCTTGAGAAAAGCCTTATTTTCTCAATCAACCTACTTTATTATAATTTCAGCCAGCCTGCTATTGAGTCAAAGGTATTCCTGTACCCCATTACCTAAACCCCCTACACGAGGGCCTTATCCCCTCCTTCTACAGCATTTCACTCAAATTCTGATATCCCAGTTCTCCCAAAAATACATCTAGTCTGGCTAAATTCCCTTCTCCCCACACTGATCGTAGCCAAAAAAAAAAAAAAAAAAAAAATTAATGCTGGTAAACAATAGTAATGCCCAAATACAAAAGTTAGATCAAAACAGATTTGTTGAAAATTTGAAGCAGAAGGGGTACTTAAAACTCTGGATTACTTGGCTCTTTGCTTTTCCTAATCATAACCACCTTAAAAAGAGATACCATAAAACAGTCATTCGCTCTTGCCCTCACTTTCTTACATATTCCACACATCCTTATCCTGCCCCAATTTTCTAAAAACAAACCTCATCGCTTCATGCCTCTGCTGAAAAGTCTTTGATTGCTTCCCATTACTGTTACTAAAAGGTCCAAAATCCTCAACATGAGAACTCCTGCAGGATCCGTCCTGCCTATCTCAACAAAACAAAAAACCAAACCCGTCGCCATCAAGTTGATTCCAACTTACAGTGATCCCACGTTACAAAAGCAGAACTGCTCCATAGGGTTTTGTCAGCTGTAATCTTTACAGAAACAGACTGCCAGGCCTTTCTTCCATGACACCGTTGGCTGGGTTTGAACTGCCAACCTTTACGTTAGTAGTCAAGTGCAAACTGTCTGTGCCACCCTGGGACCTATCTCAACAGGTTCCATCAAACCTTTCCTCCTCCTTACTCTGTATATTTCTTAAATTCCCCAAACTTGCCATGCTCCTCCCTCTTTAGGGCTTTCAAAGATGCTGTTTCCTTTCCTGACCTTCACCTAGTCAATCCATTCTTATCTTTGAGAGCTGAGCTCAACTGTCGCTTCCTCCAAGAGGCCACCCTAAACCCTCAAAACAGGCTCTGGTTCATTTGTTATATGCTTCCACAGCACTTCTACATCCTCCTACCACATGAATTAAATAAAGTTATTAGGGTTATTATTTCAATGTCTATCTCCCACCCATGAATGAAAGCCTTAAGAGAAGCTTGCTTACTGTATCCCTACTGCCTAGTACAATGCTAGAAAAGACACCGAATATTTAAAGGGCTAGAGATGTCCAACTTTTTTAAAATACATACCAAGTGTAAGGCATACTATGAATTTGCAACAGTCCATGGAATACCATGATACTGTAGATTTCCAATGCTACATGACATTAAAAATATATGCATTCTTTTTACCTTGCTTTCTTGATTGCCATAAGCCAAAATCTGAAGGCAGTCTGTTGTAATAGCCAAGAACTTAACATTCGTTTTGTTGAGCAAGGCAACCATTTTCTGCAGCCCACCAGCTAAACGCACTGCCATTTTAGCTCCTTCTTGATGTAATAAAAGGTTGTGGAGAGTTGTAATGGCATAAAACAATACAGAATCCACTGGTGAACTGTTAAAAAGAAAAAAGCCTAATCAGAATACTGTGATCACACTCTTCTACTTAGCTTCAGGCATTCTGACTATCTTCTCTTACCCAAGCATCTTCACCAGGGCAGGAATGCCTCCAGATTTAAAGATGGCCAACAAGCCCTCACGGTGATGGGAAAGGTTGTGCAACGTCCCAGCAGTACACCGAGCTGTTTCCACATCGTTTGTATTCTGCATGGTACGTACAATAGCAGACACCATCTGAGGAGAACGCATGATGGCGTGTCTGGAAGCTTCCTTTTTAGAAAGCTGATGGACCATAACTGCAGCCTTGTTAACCACCACCTATAATTGAGAAATTAGAGGCATCATTAGTTTTCAAATACCAGTATTAGGTAGACCTTTTGAGACTACTCCCTTGACAGTTTCCTTCAAGCAGATGTAAAGTTAGCCATATCATTGTTTACCTGGTCCTCATCATTTAGCAATTTTGTCAGTTCAGGGATTGCACGTGTGGCAAGTTCTGCATCATCTTGATAGTTAATCAAATTTACAACTGCATGTTTCAGCATCTGTGATGGTTCAGCCAAACGCTGGACATTAGTTGGATGAGCGGCATCAAACTGCGTAGATGGGATCTGCATACCCTCATCTAACGTCTCTGGGAACATAGCAGCTCGTACCCTCTGAGCTCGAGTCATCGCATACTGTCCATCAATATCTGGAAAAGGTAAATCCAATGCTCACTATCCACAGTTCACATTTACCTGAATGCTTGCTATACTAAGTGGTAAGGGTGACAATACAATCACTCCCTTTTCTTCACCATACCATATTAAGCTATTACACACTTTTTTTAAGAGCAATTCTCAAAATCACACTTTGACTTTCAGTAAGGCAGTAATACTCTTACCAGCTACTTGTTCTTGAGTGAAGGACTGAGAAAACCCCTGTTCCCACTCGTACAGGACTTGGGTGGTATCCACATCCTCTTCCTCAGGATTGCCTTTACCACTCAGAGAAGGAGCCGTGGTAGTGGCACCAGAATGGATTCCAGAGTCCAGGTAAGACTGCTGCTGCCAGTGACTAACAGCAGCTTTTCTGTCTGGCTCCATGGCCATGTCCAACTCCATCAAATCAGCTGTAAAAAGCAAACAGCATAAGCTTTACTATCATGGAAATGTTATGTTAATTTTTAAAAATCTGTGATATGGCCCATTGAGATATTTTTAGAAACAGTCAAATCTGAAAGATAGCCAAGAACAGAATGATAGCCAGGATTAGCTCAGTGATGAAATATCCATATCTTTAGGGTACCACCTAACAGTTACTCACTGAATCAGTGGAAGAATGGTACTGCATCCAGGCTCCAGAAACAGTCATCCAGACTAGATTCCTGCTGGTGGCTTGTTTGCTATTTCACCAAGCCATTAGGAGTAGTGAGCAGAAAATGGAGCAAAAGGTAGCCTGACAAGTAAGCAGGAGAGAGGAAAGCAGGGGGATCTGAGCCAGACTGGGTAATGGCAACGAAGCAGAGCCCCAATTAAGTAACCAAAGACTTATGACACAAACCTTGGGTAGCCATTGTCCACACAGGATTTTCAAAATCGTTGGATAGTATGCTTCAGATACCCTAAAAAAGTTAATCAAAAGCCATTAGGATTTCAACTGAGTTTGATTTTAATACTCATAAGTTACTGGGATAGCATGCTAAACTCATGGACTATGCCCACAAATAAAAGCTTAAAATTCTCTTTTACCATGTGATCTGTTGAAATACAGACCTCATGGTCTTCTCTAGACATTGAAACCACCGCTCCATTACTGGTGAACTTCTAAGTGAAAATTCCTCTTAAGAAAACATCTCTTTTTAGGAGAAATATACATTACAAATATTTAGAATGTCAAAAAGCATCATTACTGCAGATAATGAAAAAATTACTGACAGTGATAAAAAAGCATAAGAGCTCTAATGAAGAAAAGCCAGGGAGCTGGGGGAAAACCACTCAAAATCAGCTGCTCCTTGAGCTCCTACAGGCCCCTTCCTTTTTAACCTTTCTCACTGTAAATTCATAGATTCTCTTTGGATTGGAGAAGTCCACTGAGACTTAAAAAATACAATATTTTATTAAAGGGGTCAGCTGCTTTCTTTTCTGATATAGTACAATGCCATCCAAAATACCTTCATAAAGCAATAGATTTTGGTATGTAGGCCAGAACAGAAGATTTTAGATTTTTACTAAGAAGAAAAATTATTTTTGAAATTAAAGTTTACAAAACTCCACCACACCCTGCCAATCATTAAGGGGGAAAGCTAAGGAAAAACCCAATAAGCACCAAGCAAGATAAAAGGGGTAGGGAGGATGCTTAACAATTACGATGTACTAAATATTCCAAAGGAGCCCTGGTGACAGAGTGATTAAGCGCTTAGCTGCTAACTGAAAGGCTGGCAGTTGGAACCTACTACTGCTCCGTGGGAGAAAGATTGGCAGTCAGCTTCCACAAAGGTTACAGCCTTGGAGGCAAAGTCAAAGGAGCTTCCTAGACATATCCAAACACCTCGAGGGACCGAGTTACTGGGGCTGAGGGCTGGGGAGACCATGATCTTAGCGGACATCTATGTCAACTGGTGTTAACACAGTTCATAAAGAAAATATTCTACATGCTACTTTGGTGAACAGCATCTGGGGTCTTAAAAGCTTTTGAGCAGCCATCTAAGGTGCATCTATTGGTCCCATCCTGTTCGGAACAAAGGAGAATGAAGAAAACCAAAGACACAAGGAAAATATTAGTCCAAAGGACTAACAGACCATACGAACCAGTCTCCACCACCTTGAGCTCAAAAGAACTAGACAGTGTCCGGCTACCACCACCTACCACTCTGACAGGGATTACAATAGAGGTTCTCAAACAGAGCAGGAGAAAAATGTAGAACAAAAATTCAAATTCACACACAAAAAGACCAGACTTACTGGTGTGACAGAGACTGGAGGAACCCCCAGGATTATGGCCCCCGGGGCACCCTTCTAACTCAGAACTGAAACCACTCCCAAAATTCACCTTTCAGCCAAAGATTAGACAGGCCTATAAAACAAATAACACATGTGAGGAACATGATTCTTAGTTCAATCAAGTATATGAGACCAAATAAGCAATACCTGCCCAAAAGCAAAGACAAGAAGGCAGGAAGGTACAGGAAAACTGAATGGATGGAAACAGGGAACTCGAGGTGAACAGGGGGAGAGTGCTGACACAACCTGGGGACTGCGACCAATGTCACAAAACAATCTGTATATAAACTTTTGAAGGAGAAACTAATTTGCTCTGTAAACTTTCACCTAAAGCATGATAAAATTAAATAAGTATGATTACAGTCCTGGTTGCTATGGGTAGGAATCGACTCAACAGCAGTGGGGTAAACAGTCCAAGACACAAGTGATCACTAATTACAAACTACATCAAAATGCTTTGTGTCCTGCCAGCTTTACCACACCAAGTGCTGCTCTGACAAAGAAAGGTGTGCTGGTGGATAACCAACTTCTCATACTGTTTCACACCCAGTCTAATAAGGTGGTGGATGCCTTTTTACCCTCCTTTCATTTTTTTATTTCTTTTTGCTATTTAAACATACACTCTTTTCCAATTATAACATTCTATTGTCTTCCCCGTCTATAAAGTAATGTATGTTTAGTATAAATTTTTTTGTTGTTTTCATAACGTAAGTCTACCACACAGATAATGATGACATTTTGATATATTTGGTATTGTCAAACTTAATGTATTTTTAATATAAAAATATAAAAATCAATTCCTTGTATAGACCTTTATAAAATATTTTTATCGTCTATACTGTATCATATATTATACAATCATTTAATCATATCTCTCATTCTTGGTTAGTTTGTCCTTCCTAATTTTGTTTGGTATGCAAACAATGCTACTATAAACATCTCTACACAAAAAATACCCTTAATTTCTTCTATCACCTTTCTACCTTAAGATAGTTTCCTAGAAGTAGAACTACTGAGTTAAAGGGTAAAATACAAAGCTCCAAAATACTGATGGGAGTATAAATTGATATAATTTTCAAAGAAGACATTGTATGAATGGAATCAGCATCAACTGTTACCTTGGACAACTTTTAATAGGTATGTCCATTCACCCATTTATAGGTCTATTTAATTATTTTGTAGTACTCCATTTTATTACCCATTGCCATCAAGTCAATTCCAACTCATAGTGACCCTACAGGACAGAACAGAACTGCCCTATAGGGTTCCAAGGCTGCAAATCTTTATGGAAGCAGACTGCCACATCTTTCTCCCATGGAGCAGCTGGTGGGTTCGAACCACCAACCCTTTAGTTAGTAGCCGAGTGCTGTAACCACTGAGCAGTCAGGGCTCCTTTTGGTCAGTAACACAATCCTAAAATAATCGTACCTTGCAGAAAAAAAAAGTTTTAAAACAATCTTCCATTCTATCTCCAAGAACAAATTACTAAAAAAAAAAGCAGTTTTTCTCCAGCTTAGGTTAACATATGCAATCAAAAGATCAATTATTGTAAAACACAACTATTTCAAAGTACATATAAACAGGTTTACATACAGTGCAGAGACACACTTCTGTAATTTCTTTAATATAATTTTGTAGCACTTAAATTAAGTTAAAAAACAAAACAATGCCACATATTGTTTATGAATTAAAAGTATACAAAGAATACACACTGCCTTCTTGGGGAGAGGGGAAGGGAACAGAATGAGAAATAGTGTAAAGATGGTTTCAACTCTTTAGCGGTTTATTTTAAAAAAAAATCAAATATAGCAAAACTCTATCTGGTAATCTAAGTAGTAAGTACATGAGTGTTACATTACTCTATATACTTTTCATAGCAAAAATAACAATGAAACAAAAATATCAGCTGTATATCAGCATTTCAGATAAAATCATTTAAACTCCAAATGTTATTTGAAAATATAAGATTATCTTTGTACTTCAATCCTTTAAAACAATTCAAATGGAGTAACTCAAAAAGGCTGTCGGTATTAACCTTACTCATCTAGCTCAAGTCTCAAATACGAGGATAAAATATTTCCATCTCTTTCAACAGGCTTTAGGTCTATTTTGAGGGGGCAGTAGTGGTTCAGTGGTAGAATTCTTGCCTTCCATGCGGGAGAGCTGGGTTCAACTGCTGGCTAAATGCACCTCAAAGCACAGTCACTACCTGTCTGTCAGTGGGGGCTTGTGTGCTGCTATGATTCTGAACAGGTTTCACCAGAGCTTCCAAACTAAGGCGAACTAGGATGAAAGACCTGGCGATCTACTTCCAACATATCAGCCAATGAAAACCCTATGTATCACAATGGTCCTATCCTGTTGTGCATGAGGTGGCAACGAGTCAGGGGCAGACTAAACAGCAGCTAACAAATGAAGGCTAAAGACTGCAGCTGTATGGGAAGATCCATTATAACTAGCAACAGAAAATCTTGTTTCTCTTCACAAAATGAAAACTGGCTAAATAATTTTAAACTGAGGACATCAGTTAACATTCTAGACACAAATACCCACTTAAAATAGATTTTATAGTCTAACAAGACTAAACAGAAAACAATTCAGTTTAAATTTTAATAAAAGTGGCCATTAAAATTATATGCAAAAACTATTTTTCTCTATACAAATAGACGAGTTAGAAAAGCACAATCACAAAAAGATTTCATTCATAATAACCACAGTAAAAACAAGTAACACATTTCTGAGGTACATACAAGATTAAATAGAGACATATGTCTTGTTCTTGACTAAAAAAAATCTGTATTATAAAGGATGTCAGTTTCCCCCAAATTTGTTTAAAAATTCAATGTATTTCCAATAAAATTCTCAGATTTCTTTAGGATTGGAAAATATTCTCAAATTCAAAACTTCTGAAATAACTATGAGCAGAAATCAGTTCTACTAGATATTAAAATATATATCAAGTGCTACAGCAATTAAAGTATTATGTTATTGGGATAGGAATGGATAAAATACTACAGAAATCAGAATACCCACATATAATGTGGTAATTTAATAATTGAGAAAGGTGACGTTTCAATTAGTGGGAGAAAGCTGGATTACTTAATAAACAGTATTAGGAGAAATTAAGTTTGTGTGTGTGTGTCCTAGTTTATCATTTTAAAAACTGGCTTGTCATTCTAAAAAATTGTTTCCATCCTTACTTCACTACATCAGAATTAAACCCACAATGATCAAGTATAAAGTATTTACATGTAAAAAATAAATGAGATGATAAAATATGAGTGATATACAGAAATAAAATTGTGCTAAAAAGCCTAGAATAAACATCATCTGAAACTCTGAAACCAAAAAGGAAAAGACTGATTATTTAGTGATGTGTCTGCATATAATTCTAAAATCCTGGGCAAAAACAAACCACCATATATGAAGTCATTTAAAAATGGCATACTGGACACAAGACATGTGAAACACGATTAATGGATAACATCCATAATACATAAGGAGCCCTGGTGGCACAATCGTTAAGTGCTCAGCTGCTAACCATAAGGTTGGTGGTTTGAACCCACCTAGCCACTCCGCAGGAGCTGGTGATCTGCTGAAAACGCTATGGGGCAGTTGTACT